AGAAGGCAGGACAGGAACTCTATATAAAGACTTTAACACAGGGGTAGCTCTGGTTCGGAGAGGTAGGACCACCGCAGGAGGAAGGGTAAGGTTTTAGCTCTTAGCTCTGACCTCTTGGCTTTCTTCTTTGCATTGGTTCTGTGTTTATTATTTAATAAGAAGGTTGGATACATCTACATTTGGCGCCCAACGTGGGCATCATCTTCACAGAGCAAATCCCAGTTGAATGTAAACTCAACCCTTTGAGCTGGGCAACCTCTCTTCACAGCCATCCCATCGTAGCACCTCCTTAGACCCACTGAGGGTCCCTAGATGATCAAATTTGATCTCGGACCAAAGATGATGGGTGGAACAATGTCTATCATAGCAGGAGTGTAAGATCCACAGCATGACAGGAAGTGTCCATGTGGGTGGAGCTCAGCAGTGGAATTACCAATGGAGCTGCTGGCCGGGATTCCAGGAAACATCTACCTTCTAGAATGTTCCTGACAAGTGTACAAAGTGGGCACGTCCTTTCTGAATCAGTAACTAACACGTTCATGGGATCCAGGAAGGACTTGAAGATGAGGGTAGTCTTGCTGAGCACTTGGCACAAGCTTTTCCGAGACACCTGGTGGGAGGTGGTATCAGAGGTGTGATGACTGGATGAAGCTGGGGAAGAATATTTCAACCTTACGTGCCCCGAGGCAGAGGAGACAGAAAAGGGAGACTTGTCCCAAGATCCCAGTCACCCAGTCCTGTCCTACACAGTATCATACTGATATAATCACCCATGACCTGTGTCTTTGGGGTGGGACACAACGGTTCACGGAGAAATGACTGCTTGCTGACTTCCGTAGCCACTCCTCCCTTCTGCCTTATTGATAGGATCACCAATCTTTTTTAAACTACTTTTACACACAGAGAGAATGAGCGCCTCACATGTATGCCATGGCACATGTGTGGCAGTCAGAGGACTCGCAGGAGTTGATTATCTCCTTCCATCGTGTGGAATCGTGAAACCCAAGTCTCTACTCTCGTCAGGATCTCCACCCTTCAGCAATGTGCACGCACATCCACCTTTCCTTGCCGTGTAGCCAAGGGCTCGTCTGGCCAAACAGAGGGGGTCAAGAGTACCCTACAGCAACTTCCAGAAGATGTCCTTCAAAGATGACAGGCAGGTGGCCCTTGCCATTTTCTCTCAGTCTTCTGCAGTAGGTGAGCGTGATCATGGGAGAACAGAAACCTGAGTCCTTGAGACTAGCAATGGCCATGTTTGCTCTAGATCATTCCTCAGACCTCCCTCTCTCTCTCTCTCTCTCTCTCTGTGTGTGTGTGTGTGTGTGTGTGTATGTGTGTGTGTGTGTGTGTGTGTGTGTGTGTGTGTGTGTGTGTGTGAGAACAGGTGTGGAGGCCAGAGGTTGACATCAGGTGTTTTCCTTCATTATTGTGCATCTTATTTTGAGACACAGCCTCTTACTGAACATGGAGCTCATCACTTCAGCTACACTGGTGGTCAATGAGCTCCCAGAAGCTGCCTGTCTCCACCAGCACCTGCCCCATGCAGCCAGGCACTAAGGTCACAGATGTGTACCATTTATCTGACTTTTATGTAGGTGCTGGGGAGCCTCATCCTCCGACAGGAAGTATTTTGCCCATTAAGCCATCTCCCCAGCCCGGGACTTCCTTTTGTAAGCCAGTTTTACTATGTAGCTTCATCATACACATCTGAACCTAATCCTTCTAACAGACACATCTTCTGGACGAGAAGAACTGGGCCCATTCGAAAGAGCAATGAAAGCAAGCAAGCCAACTCCAACAGAAAGGCTCTCGGGGTGACTGCAGGACCAGATGTTTTCATCCCAGACGACCAGGAAAGGAACTTTCAACCTTGTGTGCCCATTCAGAACATTCGACAAAACCTCTTTCTTTCTACTTTTATTTCTGAGAAAGGTCTGCTCAGTGCCAGGGGTAGATGTGTTTTGTAGTTTTCTTCAAATCCTTGTAATTACCTCAGCATGAAGGACTTCTCTTTGTTTTCAATCTGAATTTAAATTGAAGGCCTTCTGAGTCGTCTGTCTCCATGCTCCGTGTGGCATCAGTGTCCCGTTCTGTCTCTCATGGTGAGGAGCTGCTCTAAGAGAGGCAGCCTATGCACCTGAGGCTTGCCCAGCCCATTTCCTGGCTGGTGACTGTAGCACCTTCTGTTACTGTCTACAGCCAATCATCCGTGTGTTCGTCTCACGGCCAGAGAAATCTGCTTGTGTTGTCCTGCTGAGGCATTGTATGGTTTATCTGGGCTGTTTTTCACAGCTGGCATCTGCTAAAGCCAGTCTCCAACAGATGATTTACCACAATTATCCCAGTTACGGGCATTAGTCTGTGTCTCACATCCTGAATCTCCAGGAAATCAAGGCAGACCATAGGAAGCAGAGCTATTACACAACTGGGGCTTTGTGTCTTATATTTAGATTTCACGGGGACAGTGATTCTAGAAGCCATGTGGCTTCATAATTCTAATACATCTGGCACAGACTGAGTCACGACTTGGGACTATAGAATGAGGAGATATGACCACTGTGCTTCTCAAACTCTCCGATGGCAAGAGTCATTGAATTAACCCCAGGTCCCTCTTTTGTGTCTAGAATACCCAAATCAGAGCCTCACAGGAGCAGTCTGGGAAGCTATAACTGAACAATCCCGGGGCAGTTAGGGAATTACAGATCTAGCTCTCTGTGAAGGCATATCAGTCTTGCCAAGGGAGCCAATGGGGTCAGTGGCTGTGTTACTTCTTAGAGCCTCAATGTCCTTGTCTGTAAAATGGGTATAATAGGTCTCACTTCTCCAGTGCATGCTGAAGACTACAAATACAATACATGAAGATGCTTGGTGCTTAGTACAAGCTTAGCCAATGGCGGCCATCAGCATTATTGTGACAATGATTTTCATGAACTCAAAGAGGTCTTATTTGTGGTCAAGGATGGAGACTTTGAACTGCATACAGGAGACTCTGCAGGCTCCCTTAACTTTGGCACCACTGGGAACTGGGCCTGCAGAAAAAGCCCTCCTGGTGTAGACCACATGTTTCCAGCTCACAGAGAGACAGGACAGAAGACACGGACATTCCACGCACAGTCAAGTGTGAGGGGCTAAGCAGACCTTTTGGCCACATTAGCAGCTGAGGGCTTCCTCTCTTTCACGTGAAGAGCTTCCTAAGCATTAGGCAGATGGTTTCTTTGTGACGGAGAGGGAAGGTAATTCGAGAGTCGTCCCTTAAAGCCACCACTGTATATCCACAGAAACTAATTCTCTAGAATCTTAAACCTGGTTCAGAAATCTTGAAGGATGTTGTTTGTCCCGAATCATCTTAGGTGGTCTCTATGGAGTTTACTGGTGCCAGGCCATTGGTGCTTGTACGGGTCTGGTCTAAAACCACTATTAACTTCGACTCCTCCCTCCTCCTGTAGTGAGGCCTGGACCTGGAATCGGGGCTCAGTATGCTGGCAAACTCTCAAAGTCAGGTCTGTTTTCTCTGCCCTGCTTAGACTGCCATGAGGACAAACACTGTCCCAACAGTGTCTGAACTTTCTGACACTGGTTTGGACAACACTGTGACTTTTTAACAGAAGGAAAAGATCATCAGAAAAGTACATATGGCTGAGTATAAAACCCCCACTGCACAGCCACGACACAATGATGAGCTGGGCATAGGGTGGGGAAGCGTATGACAATCTCCAAACTTCTAGGCATACTGTCATTTAGTCTCCAGAGCTGACCCAGGAAATGAGTGTTAGTCTGTCTGCCCCTTGGATGGATGAGAAAACAGGCATTTCTGCTAGTAACTCTGTAGAACGTTGGACACATTGCTTCACATATCATGACAATAATGCCTAACTTAAAGTCTTACCAAAATTAGAAGTATTTCAAGAAAGAGAGGGGCAGGGCTTCCTCAGTAACTGTTTTGAGAAATGAGGGTAGAGTAAAACTTACTTATCCTAAACCAGGAGGTCTTGATGTCTGGGTTCTTATTCTTCCCTCCCCCTTGGATGTGGCCTCTGGGGAGTTCTTAGCTTCTATGTTTGTGGGGTCTGTTTCATGGCCAAAGTGGGGGGAAAATGTACTCTCTACCTAAAATTTTTAAATGATCAGATGAATTAATTTGTGATAGCGTTGTGCAGCTAATAGGCCACAATCCCATGTGTGTGTGTGGGTATATTCCTCAGTTAAACAAGTTGCCCCAAATCACAACCATTATATCCGAGAGATAAGACACAGGCATTTATAACAGTCCCCACTTCTTTCATGGTAGAAGAAATACAATTTGGGGTTCCAGAGTTATTAATAGCCTCAGATTTCAAGAACCTGGCAACTTCACCGTCAACACACTATTATTAGTGCTACATGGTCAGTAGTACCAAGCATGCCCTGAGGATGCACATGACATAGCCTCTTAGTTCAAGGCACCTCGAAGGAATTGGAGTTAATGGCAAGACTGTGCGATGCCTGGACCCTCCAGTTCTTCGGGAACCTTCTTCCTCTCCTCCTGGCCATCCATCTGCCATAGTCAGTCTCTTCTGCGCTCCCAAGGTCCCCTGTACAAAGGCAGTTTCCTAAATGCTGTCATTCTCAACACCACACAGGGAACTCAAGAAAACTCAAACAACCCACCCCAGCCCTAGGTCTCGCCATTTATTCTGCAGACCCAACCCCCCAGTATTGCGGAGATGAGCCTGGCTATACCCCTGCTAGTGTGTGGAGAATCCCTCCTTCCCACCCTAAAGCTGGGGTGCTGGTGAAGGGCAGATCAGGGCAGATCGCTAAGGCTGGGGTCAATCTGACAGGTTCTCAGAGCTCCATGCTAATACAGCAGGGACCGCAGAGCCGGAAGAGGGCGCTGACCCCTGGACAGGCCCGAGAGGGAGGAGCGGTGGTTCCCAGGAGGGCAGTGCCAGAGGGGTCCCCAGGACAGGGCTGGCCAGCTTGGAGCCAGGAGCTCTGGTCTCCAAGGGAACCCCCAGAGATCAAGGCCAGCCCTGGACAGCCTCTGACGCTGCTCTGAGTGAGCCCTGCAACTTCTTAGCAGGCTGGGCGTAGCCTGGTCGCCTTGACCACCAGAGGGAGAAACCTTGGGAACGTTGGTTCAGGACGCTGTGCCTTGGAGTGACACCCACCACCTGGGCTTGCTCCCTTGCAGTTACCCTCCCTGACCTGGAGATTCCAGGAGCATGCTTGCCCAGAGCCCTAGAAGTACCCCTCCGCCCATACCACTCCTTGCTATTTTAAATGCGTGTCTCAAGCCAAAGCTGCTAACGAGGTTGGAGAAACAGGTGAACAGGAAGACAGCGGTGGCGCTGAAGGAGCTGAGCCAGCAAATCCAAGAAACTAAATGCCGGCGGGAAAGGCTGCTGAAGGACACCAGGCAGCTACTGGAAGAAAAACACCGTGTGCAGGCTGAAAACCAGCTTTTCATGGACTACCTGCACAAAAACAGCGAGCGGTGTGAAAAGAAACGGGAGGCGCTGTGGAAGCAATGTGCCCAGGAGTGTGGCGAGATAGAGCGAAGGAGACAAGAGCTGGCGTCCAGATACACCCAGAGAAATGCAGCCCTTCGAGCACAGCTCCTGCAGGGCAGAAAGACCCAGGAGGACTTAAGGCAGCAGCTGCAGGCACTGAAGACCGTTTACATGGTAAAGGAGAGGCAGGACACGACAATGCAGACCTTGGAGAAGGAGAAAGAGAAAATCCGGGGTGAGACAGCGGCCAAGGACCAGGAGGCACACATCCGGTTCCTTCGGGAGAAGGCCCTGATGGAGAAGAAGCTGCAAGAGTTGGACTTGATGGAGCTGGGGCAGATCAGCACTAAGGGGCTTACGAGGAAGTCCAAGGCCTTGGCGCAGGCCTGCAAGCAGGCTCATTTTGAGTTCTGTGGCAGTCTCCACAGAGAGAACCAGCAGCTACGGAAGGAGCTCCAGCAACTGAGTCAGGAGTACCGGAAGGTGGAAGCTGTGAGAACCGGGTTGGAGAAGCAGCAGCAGCTGGTGAAGGAGCAGCAGTGGTATCTAGAAGCCTTGACCAGAGGGCGGCAGCGGCTGCAGGCAGGACGTGAGCGCCACCGTGCTCATAATCCATGCCTTAAGGAACAGAGTGCTTCGAAGACCATGCTGAGCACCAAATCAAGAACAAATTCAAAGTAACGGCTACCAGAACGGATTAAAGAATTTGAGCACTTGAGATAATCTACAATCCAAAAAGTATCCTGCGTGGAGAATACAAGCGTGTTTTCAGAAAGGGGCAGTTGTGATATCGGGCTGTGCTCTTAGCCTGGGATCTACATTCTGGCTGGCTGGCTGCCTGGGGCTGTTGTGGATTCCAGAGATTTAGAACATTTGGAAAACTTTTTAAAGAGTTGTGCTACTCATTTTTATAGCAACATTTGAAATTCTCAGATTAGTTAGGACGTGTTATTTTAGTTCCAATACAGTTATTTTTTTCTTCGTGTATACTTTGTAGTCCCCAAAGTGTGGTGTATAATTCGGTGCAGTGTATAATTCGTAAGTTCTGTGTATTTTTGACCATTTGAAACAACTAGGAATCATATTTTCAACTGTAGGGGTTTTTTGTTTGTTTGCTTGCTTATTTGCTGAGAGGGTTTGCATGTTTGCATTTGTGATGGGCTGGTCATTTGTTGAACTGTGGGGTCCTGGTCTGGGAGAATGGTCATGTATTTCAGCAATGCCCCTGCATGGGCAAATGCAATTGGCTTTATGTTTCTCAGAAATTATCGGTAATGAAAACTTCAAAGTAACTTTCTAGAATTTTCAGCTTTAATTATATGTAAAATGGATTCATTTGAAATAAGTTTAAAAGGGGGATTCACTTTTCAAGGTGTCTTATCTAACTTTTAACATAGATGGTGAAATATGCACTTTGCCATTAAACAGTATTGTTAAAAACAAAACCTACCTGTGATTATTTCTTTTTTTTCTGTTTTCTTTCTGGTTTTTCAAGACAGGGTTTCTCCATGTAGTTTTGGTGCCTGTCCTGGATCTCACTCTGTAGACCAGGCTGGCCTCAAACTCACAGAGATCCTCCTGGCTCTGCCTCCCAAGTGCTGGGATTAAAGGCGTGTGCCACCGCCGCCCAGTGCCTGTGATTATTTCTTACTCCCCCAGCTTTATAAATGCAGTAGAAACACTACATCTATGTAGTATTTCTATGTAATATTCATTATATGTTTCATTATACTATTATCACCCTTTTGATGAGGTGATAGAACACTTATTGATGAGATGAAATAGGACAATGATGTAAGCATCATGACCCAGAGTTAGGCCACTACATCAAGGCTATTTTCATACAAACATTGTAATAGGCAACAGTCCGTCTAATAAACTAGACAGCTATTGAGTGGCTAATAGGTGGATAGTGTATACAGCATGGATACACTGGGCAAGGATCATTTGTGACCTTTATGAGATGCTAGGATGGTACAAGATTTCACTGTCCTTCTCGGACACATAAAATATATGAATTGTTTCTTTCCAGAATTTCCCATTTGATTTTGGACTGAAGTTGAACACAGATAACTGAAAAAGTAGGAAGAGAAGCCATGGGTAAGAGGAGTTGCCAATCCAGGTCCATCACTCTGCTATACTGTTTATAAAGGAGAAGCGTTCCTATACTTCATTTCTTTTCTCATGGAATAAGTATTGTAAGTTCTCCTTGAGTTTAGAGGTAACTGTAGATCTTTTTTTCCTTTGTGCCTTGAGCCATTTTTATGTTGTCTAACCAACAGGCAGGGCTGACTGAATGAGCTGCTGACAGGTTGCTTCTGGCCTCCAGAGCTGAGATAGGCAATCTTTTTCCTAACAGCCTGGAAAATACAAATAAAAGGCCTTGTGCTTCCTGTGGATTCCATGTGTAACATTCCACCCCACAGGGTAAAACAGCCACAGGAAACAAAGGACGGGACCCTCATGTTACAGCAAGATTGCATTTACAAGAACAGCCACACTTTACCAGTCTCTGCTCTAGGAGAATAAAGGTTTTCCCCAGCTGCTTCCTGCACCGTCAAAACATATATGTGTTGACTGTGAATATGCAGGCGTGCAAGCCAGATGTTAGCTGAAGTACTGAGATGAAAGCGCAGCCACACTGGAGAAGTGCGGGTGCCTCCTCCACTCCAGGAGGTCAAGGATCCTCTTCCTTTGCTTTCTCCCCTGTCTGTGTTCTACACCAATCAGAGAGATCTGAACCCCCTTTCCCTAGCTGCAAGCTCTCACACAACACACACACAGACCCATCCCATCATGCAAGAAACATGTGAGGCAGACACCCCTGTGGGGCGTTTACCCACCACCCCCACAGTTCCCCAGAGTTTTCTTGAGTGTGAGCAGCAGGAAATATTAGATAGAAGGATTTATTGTGGAGAATATCGCGGAGATAAACAGATAGAAAATAAAGGATAGCCTCAAGAGGGCCTGGAACCTTTTCCAACGGGCCCCGACTGTCTCTGCCCCAGGGTTTTTATAGAGAAGCTGTGCAGAGAAGCATGGGGATGCTTTGAAATGCTGGTTCAATTGTTCTGCCTAACAAGGTGATAGAAATTCACCTTGTTAGGCAGAAATTTGGGGTGGAACAAAAGACCTCCTCCCCCAGCACAGCCAAGTGCGGACTATCTCAGACACCTGCACTCAGGCCCGTGGTCTAATCATCCTCTATGCGGACCTGCTGGGTAAAGCCACGAGGAACCCAAGAACGCGCTCCCACACACCCCCCCAAGAAAAAAGAATTCCAGACTAACACTGAAACACTGCAAGCTACTCCATATTAAACACACGCTCTTCATTCTTGGAATTCCTTTGGCTTCTTTCTCTTTAAGTTCTAGTCTCCCACCATGCTACTTAGCTTCCCATCTTTCACCTCCTTAGGTGAATTTCTATCACCTTGCTAGGCAGAACAATTGAACCAGCATCTCAAAGCATCCCAGAGCTTCTCTGCACAGCGGCTGGGGGACCACTGCCTTCTCCCCCCTCCCCCCACCCCCGCCACCCTGCAGGAGAAAGGGGGCAGCTCTTGTCGCCATTCATCTGAAATCTCCCTCCCTCTCAACCCAAAAGCCAATTTTTGGGTTTGCTTTTAAATAACATTGTTTTTTCTCCTATGACAGAATTGAAAATCTTTAAGGTTTTGTTTTGTTTCGGAAGCTCTGGTGTAACCAGGAAGAGAGAGTTCTAAGGAAAGAGGGAGGGCCATGCTGGAGCAGTCATTCAGCAAGGTAGAGAGAATGGCCATGACAAGGAGTCAGCGGCACGGGCACTGTCTATTTGCCATTGTATGTGGTGCCCGTGGCGGCCTCTCTCCTGGGGTGTGTTTGTGCTGGACCAGATGCTAAAGAATGGAGCCCATAGTGCTGACAAGAACAGCCCCGTCAACTGAATACATTTGCTGAGCAATTTCCCTGATGAGAGAATGCTATACCATTCTCAAAACAACATTTAAAAAAAACCCTCAAAACCAAAAACAGATGCCTACTCTACTGTGTTGTCAAACACTTCTCAGCCGGAAATTACTCAGACAGAATTACTACCGGAATATTCAAGAGAGAAATATAAGGAGACGAAGGTTTTCCTGTTGTGCGGACTCTCTGTTACTGTAACAAATAACTGAGATAATCATCAATTTAGGAAGAGAAAATGGTTGATTTGGCTCACAGTTTGGGAGCCTTTAATCTGTAACACCTTAGCCCCATTGCTTTTCAGCTGTGGCAAAGAATTGCATCTGGGAGCCAGCACGAGGCACAGCAAAGGTACTCTGGAGACTGAGACAGGGTAAGGAAGAGGCTGAGGTTCCTCTGTCCCTTTTAAGCCTTCCCTCCTCCCAGTGAAGAGATGATCTCTTCAGAAAGTCCCTTGCCTCCCATAGGTCTATGGCCTAGAGACCAGGGCTTCAACACATGGCATGAGAGGTCACTGGTTATCATATCACTCGATGCCTGCCACTGTCTCGGCTCCAACTATATATATAAGGAAGCCTCACCTGAGGCAGGGGTGAGGCATGCCTGACCTCTGCTCACCCCGTCCCACCCCTAGAAACGTTGCCCTGAGTGTGATTGGAAAGAAGACTGTCCAAGTTCTCTGCTTCAGCCTCCTCAGGGCAGCTCTAGCACCCTCTGCCTTTGGTGCCTGGAGGAAGATACTACAAGACCCCAGAAGACACAGGCCTTCTTCCATACTGAACTCAGAGTCCCCAGGGTGGCAGGGCCAGGGGTAAGGCGGCACCAGGGAGCAGAGCAGACAGTCCCCCACCACCTGTGGGCTGCACTGAGCTTCTTGACTCTAAGGGGATGCTAGGCTCTCTGCCATTGACAAAACCTGTGAGGGACCTGTCAGTCTATTTTCTGGCTCTAAAATGCCACAGATTACCTCCCCAGTCAGAGTCCCCATAGAAATTGTCCTAATGCTTGGTTCTGGTCAGGTGCCACACCAGAGTGCAAGAAGTCTGGGAAAGCAACTGCCAGGGCTTCCGAGCTCACACTTACTTGGATATCCCTGTGGATCGAGAGGTTTCAGAAGATAGATTTATAAAAATTTGATAAATCAAATGTCCACCAAGACACCGTGTGGTCACTCATGGGTACTCTCATCCTCAGCTCTAGCTCTTTCGCTACGTCCTTTTGAGAATAAAAAGGAAAATAAATTAAATTATAATTTACATATTAAATCATGCAATTCAAAACTCAGAGGAAACCCTACACACGAGGGGAGTCCAAGAATGAACCCTAGTGGTTTCTAGGAAATCTTAACATTCTGAAAGTAAGGAAAGGTGAGGGGTCAGGGTGCAAGGCCAGGAGATGTAGAGTTCACACTTTCACTATTTAGTTCCTAGAATTTGTAAGAGGAAAAGTTCTATTAAAGTCAAATAGACTCAGTGTGGTGGTTTGAAAGAAAATAGTCCCCAAAGGGAGTGGCACTACTAGGAAGTGTGACTTTGTTGGAGTAGGTGTAGCCTTGTTGGAGAAAGTGTGTCACCATGGAGGCAGGATTTGAGATCTCATATATGCTCAAGATACTGCCCCCCAGTGTCTCAGAACACTTCCTGTTGTCTAAAAGATGTAGGACTCTCAGCTTCTGTTCCAGCACCATGTCTGCCTGCATGCTGCCATGTCCCACCATGATGACAATGGACTGAACCTCTGAACTGTAAGCCAGCCACCTCAATTAAATGTTTTCCTTATAAGAGTTGCCGTGGTCACAGTGTCCCTTCACAGCAGTAGAACAATGACTAAGACACTCAGGGTACACATTTTGGTCCTTCCACTCTAAGTCTTGTACAAGTTACTTAATATTTCCCAGCCTCTATTCTCTTGCTTGCAAAATAATAAAATTGCTCACAGTTAACTAAGATAATGCATGCAAAGTGGCAGGCAAATTGTTGCTGAATGGATGCTCCCCTTCCTCTTCCCTCTATGGAATTAAGATAAATAAGATTCCTATTTGTGCAATAAGCTAGCTTGTATATATTGGTATAATTTTACATATTAACAACTATTTTATGCAAGCCTTATTAACATTGCTATGAAAAAGCATCTATAGTTACTTTTAATAAGAATCTTAAATGAAATTATTTTGTTACAAAGAGACTTTGTTTTAAATGGAAAGCATAAAAGCTATCCAAAAGGATTTTATTATGGCTAAGTAACTGATAGTATTTGATTTCTTGAATAGATGGAGGTAAACTGGCTTTTGTAAGGCCATGTGCCTGTCATTAGGTTAAGTGTTTTATGTTAAATTTTTACCATGCCATTTTACCAGTATGGAAATAAGAGGCTAACGGAGATTAAAAGATATC